TTCATTTAGATACATTCTACTAAATTTATATTAAGAGATAATATAATCAATCTTACTTTAGTATCTAAATTATTGTCTTACTTTGCAGCTATTGCACAAGTATCAAAAAATTTATTTCAATTTCAATGAATTTCAGTTCGGTTAAGGTTTTTATGCCTTTAGTTAATCTGTGTGCAATAGTTGTACATTTATCAAAAATTAAAAAGTTGTTTAAGTGGTACTAAGCCTGATGAACAGGCCATTTGTTTACATCTGAAACTTTGAATAGTGAATTAATTCAGTTTGTTCATCAACTTAAGTGCCTTTTTGCCGAATGGGACTGAAAGTAGGGCCGAAAGTAGGACTGAAAGTAAACTTTCAGTTTTGTGAGCAAAAAACTCTGTCTTCCTGCCTGCTGGCCGAACTGCTTGTTTTTGCATAGAAACTATAATTTTAATTTCATATTTTTTTAAACTGTATTTGGTGTTTTATGTTTTCCTGTATTTTACAATTTTTAATGAAGATGCTTTGAGTTTTTATGTATTTTGCCTTGTCACAAAGTGAGAACTGAATTATATGAATAAGAACTATAATGAAATTCGAGAAAATAAGTTTAAATGAAATGCAGAAAAAATGTGTATAATTTAACAGGTTGTATAAGGAAATCATGAGATGTCCACATCAGATTTTTTGTTTAGTCTCTCATCATCCTACCTTGCAAATGAGCTATAAAAAAGATTCATATTAGACAGTTTACAGTATGGTCAGCTCTTTCAACCTCGGATTGTTTCTGTTTTTTGCATATCTGGTTTCATCTCCCAGGAGATTGCAGATAAGACATATATTCTCCTCTTCAAATATCTAATCCTACACATCTGATGCAAATTAACTATTGAAAATTAAATTTATCTTTCAGTGCAAAAAGAGATTCCACCCACGAACACAGACAGCTGTTTGGTTATTTATAACAAATGGGAATAGTTGCTAATGTTGCATGGATGACATCACCAAATGTAGAACTTAAAATAATTTTACCCTTATTTTTGATTTCTAAATAAAAAATTAATGCAGTGTTCAAAATTGTTATTTCCAAGCCCAATTCTTTTATTGCTTTTATTTGCTTCTTTGCAAGTTAATAGTAGTCTTTTGCAAGGGGTATAAATTAAGTTTTTCATCAGAAACTCACATTTTTGTAAATGCTTAGAATTTACATTAGTAACAATTACATTGTTTTTCAGTTTACTTGAAGGGCTAACTTTCAGTTTTACTTGCACATTATCATTTTCCTTGTTGGACCTATCAAATTTATTCTGCTTATTCGGATAATTTTTAACTGAATGGAAACTGCTGCTATAGAATGTACACACACTTCTATACACAAACATATTCTTGCAGTTTAAGTCAGTGTTTTTGTTCATTTACTATTGAATCTTTGCTCAAGATATAATTTACATATTCACAGCTTAATATAATATGAAACAACAATATTTTGTAATAATACTTAAAATAGAAGATTAATGAAAAAGTTAGCAATTTATGTTACCTTTAAATAAAAATCTTTGGGGGGAGGAAGAATACAGCTAGTATATCCAACTGAACAAATTCTTAATTGTTTAAAAAAATAATAATAAGTGGTCTTCATTTTATCAATAGAAGATACTCACTACTCATGAAGCATACAAATATACACACTAGCAGAAGCAAATCTATGCCAATAACAACAAACCGTAATTAAAGATTTACAATAGAAAATGCAGAAAACATTTTTTGTCATTTAACATTTCATTTTGTCATAAAGATCACTTACCTCAAGAGATTTTTCGTACAGCCAATGTGTCAACAATGAAATAGCATCACTTGGAACAACTGCCCAAATTGCAGCAATAATTACAATAGAAAATAAATCTAATAAATGTGTGAAGCTCACATTTTCTGCCTACATAATGAATGAAAACACCATGATTAATATATTATTAGAAAGCTAAGAAAATATAAATACGAGAATACATAAATGTAAAAAAGCACATTTTATTTCATTGCAGGTACTTCCAACTTACAATAATGCATTGCTTGTAAATGAACTGCATATTTTTAATAATACTTTCATACATTTCAGTCACAATAAATTTTACTGGTATTTATAAAATTAATATAAATATTAAAAGATGTTTCTAATGCCATACATTACACATCTCTAGCATAGAATTTCTCTAATACTCTACATACCTCCGTTATCTGCATCAAAAATAAAGCTCAATGATGGCAATATTTAGATTGGAATTGTGTACAATTGAAAACATTTTTTAAAATTTTCTATAATTAAAAGAAAAAAAATTAATTTATGGCAAAGTCCAAATTAATTATTCATAGTTTAATGTTTAGAAGAGATTCATCAGGGGGTAATTATTTCAAACATTAATCAAGAACAATTAAGGAGTTGTGAAAATGTGTTTTGTCCTTCTTCACTATTTGAGAGTACAAAAATAAAATTTAAAATAAAAATATATATACACAACAATATTTATTACAAAACGTTTTACATTCCATTCTCCAAGAATATACCCCAACCTGAATTCAGACCTTGAAAAGAACTAAAAGAAATAATGCATTATTGCATTAAAATAAAATAAAACAAAAGCTCTAGATCTAATTAACCAGTTCGCCGTCCTGGAAAACGTAAACATTTCGTACCATTTCTCTCCTTCAAAGATAATTTTTTTGTGTCCAAAAATATCTTCAGAATATTTTCCCCCCTTCACCAGCTGTGAAGATCTATTTAGAAGTTCTATTCAAATCAACTTGACTGCGTACTTGCCACACTCAAGGTTGCTGAATAAGGACCGCCTAATGAGGACAGTAAAACACAAAGACTGGTGTATCATTTAGATCAGATATTTTTCGCTTTGACCTCACTTATTGAACCCAACTTCAAATCTATTACAAGGTAAATGCAATTTAAATATCAAGTAAAAGCTTTGTTCATTAAAGTAAATATAAGTTCATTAGCTAGTATTGCCTAAATACCTATTTGAAATATCCTTAATTTTGTTTTATTATTTTCTTGATGCTCTGTAACAAAATAATTAGAATTATTTTCATATATTTTTATATATTTAATAAAAAATCTTCCTTTAGCTTAGATATTTAAGGTTCTTATTTAAAATTGCAATTATTTATTGTGAGTTTTTTTTTTTTGTTTTTTTTTTTTTTTTTTTAAGCTTATCTACTTTTCCTACAGCAAAGAAAGTTTGAATTCTATGAAGTACCAATTTCAATCTTTTACAAGGTAGTAACCGTTTGTAGCTGTTCTTGTTGAATAGATTAATAAAGAAGTGACAATTCTTTGTTTAAATTGGACCGAAATTTCACAGTTGTCATAAAAAAATTACCGTTAGAATGTAATTTTTTGCATCCTCTTTATGCACTTTCTTAATACATTTCCTTTTTCTTATTTTAGTCTCATAAAAGTAAATGGCTTCAATAATGTATCTTCCAAGACTATCCGCATAAAAACACTCAGTGTCTTAAATAGATTAGCGAACTTAAATACTTTACTAATTTTTTTTTTAAGTTTTGGTATATGTATGTTAAAAATAGAATGCACTCACTTATAGCTTGATTTTAAATGTATATATATTAAAATCGATTTTCATTTTATTGTAAAATTGTATGTTTAAATATTAAAATGTATCTAGGTATTTAATTTAAATACATTCATTTTTTGAAATACTAAATTTAAAACTTTTAACATATTTCTGAATAATAATTAAGGGAATCACATAGACAAATTATAAATTGTAAATACCAGAATTTATTTTTATTACATATTTCTATATGACTTTACATAAGGCGACCTAAGTTCTACTTAGAAATTAAAATAGTAAATATATATTATAAAGGTTTATTTATGAATGGGATGCTATTATTTTAAGATTTCCTACAATGTAGATGAACTTTTTATTCATAAATTTTTTTTTAATCAGTACACATTTTTGCAAATGAAGATATGTCAGTCATTTCTACCCTGTTAGTATATAATTCTGTCTGGCGACTGAAAATGGAGACATCTATCTCAAACAATAAAACATAAAAGCACATATGTCAAAAGTTTTTTCTAAAATATAACTATACATTGGAGAAACTTTAAACAATTAAAAAAAAAAAAAAAAAAAAAATAGAAGAAGATGAAGAGCAATACAAATTCAATTACATTTTTTTAAATTCTCCCAAGACTTTTAATGCTGTAGCTTTCTCAATTTAATGAATCTGCAATATGTAAAAGTATCGATTCAAAAGTAAAATATTAATTATAATTCAATTTGAAAATGAATTCGAAAATTTTAATCAACACTACCATCATAATTGGTGCAACATAGTCATAATGAATTTTAAAGTGAATAATTTTTCCATCTTGGAGGTAAGGTTAATAAAATAAAATCATGTACATCAAAGTCGTAATCCTACTCGTCGGGACTTGGCGCTTCTGATTGCGCTTTTTTCCGGATAATAGATCTCATTTAATCTGGTAAGTGCTACAGAAATTACACATTAAAAATATGAAACGAATTAGAAATAAAGAGCAATGATGACTAAAGGTATCAAATTTACAAAAAAAAAGCTTAATATTATTTGTTACTGTGTTAAACATTTCTTTCAATGTAAGTGTTTAAGTTGTTTGTTTTTTGTGCCAATACTTCTTTTATCTAAAACAGAATAATTTCTTGTTCAGTTACAAAGTTCCACGCTCAGTCTATAATGTTGTGTTTAGAATACCGATACATCAATCGAAATTTTTTGTTTCATACCCTTGTCACTTTCTTCCTATCGGAAGAATTATAATGACGAGGAATTTATTAAATCATCTCAAGACGGGTACATAAGTGACATCCTACTTTATTAAGGAATTATAAGCCAATAAAATAAACATCTGCCCTGAAGATACGGATAGTGCTGACAGATCACTTCCATCATTGCTCGCCGCGACTCCCAAACATAACGCAAGCCATTAAAAAGTTTAGAGAAACAAGGATATGCCTTTATCCATTTTTTTCAGAATTCCATGAATGACTTAACATTTTCGCTTTGTAGATCCTTTACATATTAGTAAATTAGATCAGAAATTCTATTTCATCATCACGAAGTTCAGCTTACTTTTATAAATTAACTCTAACAGTCGCAAAAATAATAAGCCGGATCCAATTCCAAGATTAAGACAATGCATCTGCAACATTAACTGAATTAGATATTTAGCTTAGCTTAATAAGCTGAACCATCCATTATACATTAAAATCCGCTTCTTAACGTATTTTGCGCATGGCCGCACGACGCATATTCGCAGCCGAAAGGTCAATCTACGCATGCCAGAAGTTTGTAGCTTTGAGGTCCGGATTACGAGCATTTCTGATATGTGTGTCGCGAATCAACGACTTTTGACTGTATTTGGTATAACATTTCAATGCAATTCATAGTTCAGAGAATAAGGAATTTATTGTGGATCTCACAAGATGTGTTGAGGGGTTATCAAAAATGATCCCCATCCTTTTTCCTGTGTACGCCCTGCGTGCATCCTAATGCAACACCGCTGAGGAAATAAGTGGAACAAATAACCCATCAATCACCTCTTTTCATTTTTGACTCATTCTGGGGGGTTTGAAACACACGCTGTGTCTAATGTGTCTCGGGGGTCCCGGTCCAGCCCACATTCCACCTCAACGAGAGTATGCTGTTACTAATGGATGAAGATGCATGTTCGGTGAACGAGTCTTTGTCGGGGCAAATGGTGAGCTGGTTAATATCATGTCAAATTTTACAGTGAATTGTACAAAAGGCTAAAAATAGTGCTAACAGATTTATTTAGAACATTCTCATTTTCTCAAAGTAAGAATGTTGGCCATTTTGCCAAAAAGTATGCTAGTACACACACATGCTATTTTTTGCAAATAAAATTTAATAGAATTTAAAAAAAAAACATGCTAGTTAATTAATCTAATTCTGAAGGTTAAAAAATGTGAAATCAATAGAAGAAATATGTATATATATGTAATATATTCAGGAGCAGGAATTTGGATGGCGTAGAAGTGTTGATCCATAATCACTAGGGAATTGGAGGCGAAGGCAGATTAAATCTTCAGTTTATTGCGCAACAGGTTGTTCTACACATAATCGACACAGTAAATTTGCCTTTTCAAAGGCTACATTTGTCTAACTTGTGCAAAAATCATCACAGACAGACAGCGTGTAGCTAGCCAAAGCGTGGAAAGCAAATGTTAATGTTTAGATGAATCTCAATCCTACTGAGTTCGTTTTTGGTTCTCAAAGCTTTGATAGGACAGTTATATGCTGTAAAATTACTGTGGCTGGTTATTTTAGTTCCAGTACTCATCATAGTTACTAAGATGCAGAGAGTGGTTACTATTTTTAGAATTGAGAAGTGAAATTGTACGTTGCTGAATTTAATATTTTACATATTCGTTATTTTTTTTACAACACCACACACACACAGATTATATTAGGGCTGCCACTCAAGAGGAGATGAATCCGCTCTTTTTCTGACTTTAAGAAAATTCCAATCTATCCTCATAGTGCACTGTGCTGAGAGGCAAATTAATTATGGTACCACTTGAAAACACAAAAATTTGCCAATTACATATGACTTTATATATATTGTCACAAATTTTGTATTTAGGAATGTAATTTTAGTAGAATTATAATTAAAGTTGTTGTAATATAGTGCGAGAGAAATTTTAAGAAAAAGCTATGCGGGAAAAGAAACAATACAGCGACACATGCATTTGAAACTGAATAAGTGTACTTGACCACTATGTTAGCTGTAACCATAATTCCAACCTCATATTGCTTTCCAGTAATTTTGAGAAGCAGAAAATACTAGAAATATTTAGTGGCCAGTTGAAAACTATTTAAGGCCGAAGAGAGAGCATCTGCTCTCGGTTGCTTAGTTAGCTGCTGTTGCTATTGTGAGTTCAGTGTGAAATCGGATTAGCTTTCTCTTTAGATGAGCTTTGCAATTGCATTGTATTTAATGCTCTTAGCAGTTTGAAGTGTAAGTACTGATTATACAGTATAATACTGTGAACACTCGTACAAATATTTCTGTGGAACATTCCAGAGTTCTGAAATATTTCTTTTCATAAAAATAAGTTTTTATTAACCTAAATCAGAATTGTACATTCAATCTATTACAAACCCATAAGCATGCATTAATACCAATATATCAATATATATATATATATAATCCCCAAAGCATTACTATAACTGTAATAGTTGCTTTCTATAGTGATTGATATTAGAAAATGATATTAGAATCTGCCTAATCTGGATTAAAAAATGTCTTCTGAGGTAGATATTTTTCAGCTAAACGAAAGAAAGAAATCTATTTAGTAATATTTTAAAAGAAATTCAGGTATTTTATATTTATTTAGCAGCATACTTACGCAAAAAATATGTGAATTAAATTTCGTGATGGTATAATACTCCTAGAATTAGTTTCAGGAGTATGCAGTAGAAAATCGCATGAAATTTGAAAGTACAATGAACTAATAATAAATAAATTTAAAAGGAAGACGCTACATTAATTGATATGTATAACATTGAAATAAAGTTAATTGCTTAAAAATTAAAAATTGAATTAAAATAATAAACGAATATTTTAGCGAAAATATAGTTATATTGAATGGTTAGCCTAGATGACTGATTACTATTTTCTTTATTTTACTGCAAAATGACAAATATGGGATTTATTAGAAAGAAAAAAATTAAATGATTTTGTAAAATCCTAGTACATGGCAAATTTTGAAAAATGTCGCTAACACCAAAATGGCCTGTTTACTGCTCATCATAGTGTCGCCAAATCTTGTGTGCACCATATACTAGGATTACACCGATTTTGTTTTATACAATAATGGGAAGGCATTTTCCTTTGGTCAACATACACTGCATATGCACATGCGAGTCTCTTGATTCTTGAGGTTACTAGAAGCCGAAATTACTGAAAACTTGTTTTGCCTTTCTAAAAGACAATCTGATTGCAGCTGTGAAAATTGGCTCTATGCCAACTGCCTGAATGATGCTAACGTGATACATAATTTGCCAAGAAAGTGATCGCTGGTGCTGAAATCACTTTTTTGGGGAATCGCTGTATGAAATTCCCTGATTCTTCCAGATTTTGACTAAAATATTTAAATTCCCTGACTTTTTTGGTCAATTTTCAAATTCCCTGATTTTTCCCAGTTTTTCAGGTTGCGTGGCAATCCTGTGTAAAAACCGGAAATTAAAAAAAAAAATTTAAAAAAGGAAATAAAACTTTCAGAATATGTGATTCTTTAACATCATCTAGGCAGCAGACTTGATAGAAATTTATTTTATAAAAAAAGTAGGATTGGAATTTTTTTAACATTAAAAAATAAAGCACACAAAATATGCATTAGAAATGTGTCAAAAATTAAGAAGTTCTCAGAATAGAACATTATAAAGTTTTAAAACATACTAAAATAAAACAGATATTTAAAAAAGTTAAAAAACATTTTCTTATATTCTTTTTACTTTTACTTTTTATGTAAAATAGCAATATATTTCTTAATAAAAATGTCAAAAAAGTATCAATTGCATTATTTATTTTGTCATTTTAGTCTAAATCTAAGGATTTTTCATTTATGAATTCATTTATTACAAACTGAAATCTGCAGAACTCTAAATTCTTAACAACCATAAGTCTCAAAAGTCGTGGAGATACTGGTCTTCTGGACTTTATTGTTAAAAGACACATTGAAAAAGAAATAAAAACTTTCAGAATACATGATTCTTTAACATCATATGGGCAGCAAACTTGATAGAAATTTATTTTATTAAAAAAATTAGGATTGGAATTTTTTTAACACTAAAAAATAAAGCACACAAAATATGCACTAGAAATGTGTCAAATTAATATAAGCATAAAAGTTTACTTAATATGCAGTTTATTTAAAATATTGCTTCTCTCAAAATAGACTTACCCCATGATTTTGAATGCAGTGAGCAATTTCATGAGACAAGATAGCACCTAGCTGATCATCATTGGTACACAGTTTCAGCATTCCAGTGAAGACAAACACATATCCTATCTTGGGAAGAAGAACACATATTTAATTTTTCCTTTTGTAAAACTGTGTAATTTCAAAATTAATATGCAAAATTTTATAATTTAATCAAAATTATGAAATAAATTAATAAGCATATCTTATACAAGTGAAATGCACCTCAAAAGTTTAGTAAATTGATTAAAATACCTGTTAATACATGCAATAAATTAACCAAAAATAAAACTATTATTCAAAATATGCAGAAAATTGCATATCTTGATACACAATAATTATAATAATTTAACATTCATTCATTTGAATAATTTAGCATTAGCAATTAGATTGGCTGTGCATAAATATACAAGAAACTCTAGAAAAATATTTAACTCCTTTTCATTTTGTTCATTGCCCTTTAGGAAGTATGTACTGGAATCATTAATTTATGATTTTCCAGGAACAATTTATCTTTTTTCTTAATTTGGATTAGCAGTGGCTGAATGAATCATTTTAACAATTTTCACTAAGAAACTTAGTGGTTGCAGACTTGGCATTTCATTACAAAAATGAATGTTTCTTTTCGTGCAGTTATGATGGTGATTGCCTGAAAATCAAACACATTTATACACATTTTACATTTTCTTGATGAAAAGACTTGCATGGTATTTCAAATCTCATGGTTTGCTAGATCCTACTCAAGCAAGCCTTAGGCAACACATATAGCAAAATAATGCAATTATTAGTCAGTATATGTAAGATAATATGACTAGAAGTCATATTGCAGCTGCAGCTTTTTTGGAATTTTAAAAGAACATATGACGTTGTTTGGTGGACATAACTGCTTAAGAAACTTTTATGCCTTTGAGTTTAAAGAAATATGCTACATGTATCAGCAGCTTGAACTGACAAGGATTAATAAGCATGTATTATGGAAATGCTGCATCTCATTACAAGCAGCTTCAGACAGGTTTTCTCCATGAAGCAGTAGCAAATTATTATCTTTTGACATACATGTCAATAATCTCATATGTATACCAGAAGATGAGAATTTAAATATACTCATATGTACTCATGATTTGTTGATATAGTCTTCTATCCCAAAAAAAGGGTGCACAAGAGAGATTACAATACACATTGAATGAGACCATGAAAAGATTCAGGATTTAGCATTACAGTCAAAAGTCTTTAATCTGGATGTCCATAATCCGGAATGATCTATAATCTGGACCTCAAAGCTGCAAACTTTCTGTGCATGCGTCAACGCATATGTTTTCACGCATTTAATGTATAATGGGCGGTATAAGCTAAGCTAAAATTATCTAATTATCTATTTCAGTTAATGTTGCAGATTGCGTTGTTCCTTAAACTTCGAATTGGATCCAGCTTATTATTTTTTGCAGACTGTTAGAGCAATTTTATAAAAGTAAGCTTGAGCTTCGATTATGTCAAAAAGAATTTCTGATTCTGGAGCTAGCAAAGGATCTACAAAGCGAAAGCATGTTTCGATGTCCATCAAACAAAAAGTGGAATTGCTGCAAAAAATGGATAAAGTCATATCCTTTGTTTCTCTAACCATTCCGAAATCTGTTTATCAATTACACGCTGCTCTGCAGGGGAAGGGGGGTACGTCACGGCGCGCAATGAACTGGAAGTTGATCTGTCAGCACTATCCTTATCTTCAGGGCAGATGTTTTTATTTTATTAGGCTTATAATTCCTTACTAAATGTAGTATTTCATCTCGATGTACTCCGTCTTTGATATGATGTAAATCGAATTCCTCGTCATTATAAATATCACAAATACACATCAAATAGTTTTATGGTTGCAATTTTCTAATTTTGACTATGCGTAATGTATGCTTTACGCATGCGTGCGTTGAAAGAAATGTTTAATAAAGTAAACAAATAAATATTAAGCTTTTTTTGTTGTTGTTGTTGTTGTAAATTTTGATACCCTTTAGATTATAATTTCTCCTTATTTCATAAATTACGGTTTCATATTTTTAATTTTATAATTTCTGCATGCCATCTTACCAGATTTAAACTGATGATCCATAATCCGGAATCGCCGAAGTCCTGACGAGTCCGGATTAAAGACTTTTGACTGTAATTTAATAACACAAGCACATTCAAAGTGTTGCTTACTTGAATTAAAAGCCCTCTTTATCTTGAAGTTTTATATAATAATATTTCTTTGCCTCAATACCAGATTTTTAAAATTTAATTAATCATAGTAGAAGAGCTAAGAAAATAATCATTTTAACGTAACGATTGTTTAAATTATGTTCAAATGATTATCACTAACAAAATGCTAATTGTTTCTTGCATTTTGTAAGCAAGATGAAGGTTGAACTAAGATATTCAAATTTCACCTTATTACAAATTAAATTACTTATAAAATAATAATGAAACCTGTTATGAAGTACTGTTATGCACTTTTAATTGCTGCCTCTAAAACTTTTTAAAATAAGCTGAAATTTATGAAAAAACAGGTATTTTTTGCCATGTCACAGGCACTGTGAAAACAGTTCTGTAAACGCTGTCCTGCATTACACAGTTGTACATAATCTATGAAGTTTCTTGAGAAAAATATCAGATTTCCTTAGATAGTTAACAGCTTTACAATAAATTGCCAGACAAGGAGACTAAAAATTTTCATTAAAACTTGGTAATTCTTTTTGAATCCGAAACATTGCTTTGAGACTGAATGCTTGTCAGCTGTGAAATCAGACTGCTGCCATAAATTTGATTCCAGCCAAGAAGTTTTATTATCCTTAGCAATGGAAACAACTGAAGAGTGTTATTCAAATAATGACTGTATTTACATGGCTGGATCTAAGCTCAATACACTTACAGCCAGTGCTGGTATCTTAAGCTCTTTTTTCTGTTGTTGTTGTTATTGTTACTAATCTCCATGTCTAGGAATATACCACGACGACCCAGACGAGGTCCACGAGTCCATTCTTTTTTCTCCTATTATTTACTTCTCATTTTTCAAAGCAGGAGCTGTGATAGTAAAGTTGAGGCCATTCAGATATCACTTTTAATTCTAGACATAGATTCCTAAATTTCTCAAATCATTGTGGTCTTTTCAGATCCCTCAGTAACTGACTTCATTTAGATCATTAGACTTCATTTAGTTGAGGGCTTTGTGGGCATAAGAGGAACTTAGTTACTAAATAAGAAAACATTGTAATCTCACAAAAACTAGTATATGGATTTTATCTAAATATTCTAATTTTGCAACTTTATGCCAACTTGGTATAAAATCTGACCAATCATAGTGAGGCAAACAAGAACCGACATTCAGCAGATAGTTCGGTGAGTCAACTGCTTATTTACATTAGCACAATTTTACCTTCTGTGATTGGCTAAAGCTTAAAACTTTTTCACCTGTGAACAGAATTAATGCCTTAAGCCTTTGACAATAATGATGACTAAACCATCATATGAATTGTGCTTTACAGGTTATAGCCAATCAGAGTAAACCAGCTTCATACCTAAAATTTCAAGAATGTTGATTATTGCTTAAATATTTAGCTTATTCTAAAAGAAAGTAGCTGTACAGTAGATTCCCTTTCATTGTGGCATATCTGATGATGAAGAAGTGAATGGTACAGGGAAAAAAAAAAAAGTAACAAAATAACTGAATATATTTCCGATAAATATATACCAATTCTAGTATTTAATACAGCTGCAAGATAATAATTAATACCATTAAAAGTTCCATTATTTGTGATCTTCAAAATAACATTAAAAATAAAGATTGAAGCAATGGTCTTTGATTTAACATAGTCGGTTTAGGCCTTATGCAAAACATCTTCTTGGGGGCTTCTAATGAATTTACTGTACTTCCCCCCAAAAGAGTTTTAAAAAAATCAAATTAAGGCTTTTGTCACATTTTGATGATATATTTTTTTTAAATCTTACTAACATTTTGATGATGATTTTTTATCTTACTTAAGCCTTTTTGTGTGTGTGAAATTGTGAGAGACAGATTTTTCTTGCCTTTCACAGAGATACATACTGATAACAAAAGAATAAGTCTATACAAAAAAAAAAAAAAAAAAAAAAAAAAAGTCAATGTAAAGTATAGTATTAAGAGAAGGTAGAAAGCTTAGATTTGCAGAGCTTTTAAATAAAATCCAAGAGATTTAACATACAAATATAGTTTGAATTTCTATGTAAAGTTTGCAACAATCTAAAATTTTTCTCTTGATTTTACAAATTAATAAATAGATAGCTATGGTATAAATTGACAGACAAGATAATAGGTAAACATACAAAAAATTTTACAATAATATAAAGTGCTCTATGATTTATTCAGCCTATGAACATTACTTATACAATAATATATAATTAATAAATAAGAACATTTATTATGTAAATGATACATTTGTTAAATATAAAACATATTTATTGCAAATTTCATAAAGAACATTTATTATGCAAATGATATATTTGTTAAATATAAAACATATTTATTGCAAATTTCATAAAGAAAACTATTTGAACATAAAAATTTTGTAGACAATATATGCGCTAAAGTTTCTTTCTCCTGTTTCTTTAAAATTTTTTTTGATACACTAAACAATTTGAATACATGATTTTTATAAAAAATATGTATTCTAAAACTTTTTTTCCTGTTTTAATTTTTCTCAGTTCATACTGCTATTTTTCTCTAATGCTTTTTTGGTAAAAGTTTACTATTGGGTGCCCCTTGTTTTTTTTTTTTTTTTTTTTTTTTTGATGCCAGGATCAGCGGCAGGAAGGCACAATTTCAAGATGGATGCTACACAAAACCAAAATAAGAAGTCAAAGAATTGCACAAACTCCGTGTCCATGTACACATCGATCTGTTTTCACTTAAACATCCCAGAATTGCACAAACTAGTCACTGTGCACTGCCTTAAATTTGTCCATGTACACATCAATCTATTTTCATTTAAAAAAAATCAGGAAGCTAAAACAAAGTTAAAACTATCATGGTAACTAGAAATGAGGTTTCATCGCCAAAATTAAAAAAAAAAAAAAATTCTCGCTAA